GGGGGGGGGGGGGGGGGGGGGGGGGGGGGGGGGGGGTACATGTTTCACGTGGAAATGAACAGGGTTTAAAGTAGGAAGATCAAATGTGTTTGCAGCCACTGCGATGATGAAGCTCGTTATAATGAACCTGTGGATATTTGTCCGTGATTTCTTGCTGCAGGGAAATTCATTGTAGCCCTAGAGGACCCTGGATCTTGGTCAGAGGTTGTGTGTTTTATAGTCGTGAATTTCCCATTGTAAATTGTCCATTTATTTTGGAGGATTTTGGTGAGGATTACTGAAAGCTTTAGTTCCAAAATCTTGCATTTGGGCATATACTTTTTTCCTGCTTTGGTTCCCTATAAATATCCAGCACCTTGCAGGATAGTAGACGTAATCCTGGCAGGAACTTCAGGTTTGATGTAACTCTAAAGGATCATGAGTCAGAGTGCCTCGATTAGGGCAGAGGGTGGCAGCTAACAAGGACGAAGTCTGTAATTATATCCTATGATCAGATAATGCAGAAAGGCCTCAGTCTGCTGTGTACCTAAGCACAGATGCAGACAGTGAAACAGATAGCGACTCTAACCGACTCTGAGGCTGCAGGATAAAGGTCTTCGTTTTCTGAGGCTTCCAGGGCAATCTCCAAATTGCCCGCTGGCTTTGCCCTTGAAATGAGGTGTGGGTAATGTTTCCTCCGGAAAACAGGCTGTGACTTGTTGTGGGGACGAGTTGTAATTGGGATGCAGCCTGGAAAGCGAGTTGGAGTGAAGGAGTTTGACAGAAATGAAATGACTTGAGGATGGAGACAAAAATATCTTGGATGTGATAGTTTTTCTCTGTTGGTTTGCATATCATTATTTCCCCACTTCCCTCCACTTGCTTTCCCTGCTGTAGGCTCCATGAACACTATGAATTAAGGGAGGAGAGCAAAATAACGAGAAGAGGCCTTCTTTTTATCTTCTTCTGAAAGATCTAGACTCTGGAATTATTAGCTCCTTCCAAAATTGCTTATCTCTTTTTAGCTGTTGCTGTACAAAATGTAGGTGTGTTTTTTTT